GCCAAGCCCAAGGTGAGGAGGCACCCGGCCAAGGCCTGGCCGCCGCACCAGCGCCGTCGACACCAACTTGAAAACTGCCGAAGACATGGCCTCTGCTCTGTCTCTCTCTCACTCGCAATGCCGGGGAGGGGCGGTGGGTTTATAGATGGGAGGAGGAAAGGTGAGCTTTTATTTGAAAAATGCATGGGGATTGGCTCAAGCAGAGGAGAAGAGAGAAAAGCAGGGAAGAGGACGATCGCACAGAGCTTTTGACCATAAAACTTGCCTACTTTTTATCTTCCCCGGGGTTCCAATAGGCGCCAAACTGCCAACGTATCAAAGGATCAGAGGCACAGAGCGCCAAAGCAGGCTGTACTTGGCTTCAACCAAAGCACCCATCCTGTAGCGGGGAGGGGAGGGGAGGGGAGGCGAGGGCTTCTAGTGTGTTCTTGTCCTTCTCTCCTAATCCCGTCCTCTTGGAGTTACCATTTTCATGCGTGCAGGTGCAGGCGAGGCAAATGGTGGTGTCGGAGGTTCAACAAGCCGAATCAGCAGCGACCAAGAAGAAAACAAGTAAAGCAGCTGCATGCACAACACTCGTACTAGCAAAAAAAAAAAAAACCGCAGGGAAACACATTCAAATGCACTCAACAAATACTCAAAGCAAACTGCATCTTCAGTACTATCACAGTGCAGTTCCACGGAATTACACAGGGGGGGTGGGATGGAGATAGGTCACACCACTTGATGTGTACCAAAAAAACAGCATCCTAGTTGCTGCACAAGAAGTGTAACCAAGATGGCACACAGATAATTTTGTCAAAAAAAAAAGATGGCACACAGATAATAACTACTCTCAAGTTGCATTTATACAAAAAAGAAGTGGTCACTCTGAAAACCAAATACTGCCGCCACAACGCAGTTCTAATCTTCTGCAAAGCTTAGACCCCATCCACCGCATCATCTTCCTCTGCATACTGAACTGCCATGTCGCCCAAAATATTTATTGTCTGCGGTAGAGACCGAAGCTGCGCGCGTACCGCTACCATGGCGCGGTTGCTAACAGCTGCATCATCTCATCCACCATCTTCGCGCTGGACTCCATCTCCTCCATCTCCATGTCAATCTCCTCCAGAGTGTCCTTCACACTCGAAATCCTGGACTCGACCTCCTTAATTTTCGCAACGGTGTGTGCCCGCTCTAGTTTTACCTCAGCAGGGACTCTAGGTGGAGCAGGGAGGCTGAGGAGATCATCGACGCGTTTGAGCAGGAAGTCCACATTCATGCCCAGGAGCTTCAAGGCCTGCAAGTTCTTCTTCCAGACCACAAAGTGCTTGCAGGAAGGAGCGCGCGCCTTGCACGCCCTGATGCCCTCCGCGATGTCGATAGTCTCCATGATCGCTCCCACCACGAGTGTGAGGTTTAGCCCTTTGAGCAGCTCCTTGTGAAGGAACGACTTCTGGGCACAGCACAGCTCGTAGTACGTCTTGCGCAGGTGGTCAGGAAACTCGCAGTCGATGACCAGGCCGTCGTAGACGATGCTGAAGCTGCTGAAATCATTCACATCGTCGAAATCGATGGCTGTGTCTGAAAATTTGATGCCATCTGTTATTGATTCACTGGCTAGGTTGCTGCTATCGCTCCAAGCAACCTTTGGTTTCTTCTCAGATTTGACATCATTGGAACTTTCTTCTTCTGCATTGCAGAAAACAAAACATGATTCAGAAGATTCAATGGTTGGCTTATCCATGTATAATAAGTAAATTCACAAGTGCAGAATGAACACAATGAACTTTGACTCACTCAGTATCTTCTCCTTGCCAGCTTCAGATTTGACATCATTGGAACTTTCTTCTTCTGCATTGCATAACACAAAAAATGATTCAGAAGATTCAATGGTTAAGTTATT